CGGTACATGTCTGTGCGGATGTGCCGGGCGCGGTGGCAGGACGGGCAGGCAGATGGCGCGGACGAGGCGGCCGGACGGCTCCTGTCCCCGCGGGTCTCCCGTGCGGCTTCCCCTCCCGCGCGCAATGCCCTCGCTGCCCGCGCCGCCGCCAAATAAACCCTCCCTCCTCCCCAGCTCGCGGGCTCCAGGGGGAGGGCTCACACGGTGATCCGTCAGCAGGCTCCCAGCCGGCCCTGGGCGTGGACGGGTCGGGCACCCCCCTGACCACGCGCCGGTGGCTCCCGCCTCCCCAGACCCTCCCACGCGCTTTGGAAACAGCCTGCACCCCCTTCCCAGGAGGCGGACTCACCCTGGGAACCGTTAACAAGGATCCGCCCTGCCCCCCACGGAGCTAAGCTGCTGGCCCCTCACAGCCACCTCTCAGGGCGGGGCGAGGAGCCGAGGGTGGAGACACCCCGCCCCAGCTCACAGCCCGATAGGCCCTTCCTCCCACCCCTCAGGCAGGCTCTGCGAGGTGCTCTGGCCCTGCGGGGTCCAGGTGGTGCCCCAGGGAGAGGCAGGACCCGGGAAGCAGGGCGCTGACCCACCGGCCCTGGCCTTGTGCAGCCTTGATGCCCTATGACCCTATGACCCTGGGTGCTGCTTCTCCAGCAGGGAGGGGCTGGCTGACCTCAAGGTGTGACCAGTGGCCCCTCCTCTTCCTGGGGCTCAGAGCCAATCCTTTCTGCCCAAAGGTCTGCCCTCACCCTGCTCTCCCCCAGGAGCAGCTTGGCCTGGAGCCAGGGGAGGCGGGAGAGGAGACCCCGGCCAGGCCCCGTGGTCAGCACCTGCCCGAACAGCCCATCGCCTCCACGGCCCTCGGCCCAGGAGAGAGCGATGCCCTCCAGCTGCACCTGAGCACCTGGGGGCGGGGAGGACAAGGGGGCCTGGGTCCTTCCCTCACTACCCCAGGAGCAGACAGGAAGCCGGGCCAGTTCAGGGTCACAGGCCCTCCCTGGGGCTGTCACTGCACAGTGGCGGCCAGGGGGGCTGGAAGCCTGAGCCTGGACCCCACTGGCAGCCGTCCATCAGGTGGTGTAGACCAATGGTCAGAGCCCGGCTGGCCCCAGCCACTGAGTGCAGCCCTGAGGAAGGTGGAGCACACGGGGCCGGGGACAGCAGAGGCCCTCCCGGACCCTCTTCAACTTCCAGCCGTCTGCCAGGAGCCAGGGAGGCAGCCCAGCAGAGACCCTAGCCCCGGCCACGCCCACGGTCAGCCCAGGCCACGCCCACGGTCAGCGCCAGGCCAGGCCCATGGTCAGCGCCAGGCCAGGCCCATGGTCAGCGCCAGGCCGGGCCGTGCCAGGGACAAGCTGCCGGGAAGATGTGAAGCCTCTGCCCAGGGGCACCGTCTCCCTCCTGCTGGGGCAGAGGTGGTCACACCTGGACAACACCCGGGTCCTTTTTCTTTTTAAAATCTATTTCTTACTGACGTCAGAGGGGAAGGGAGAGGGATATGGGGATAAGCTCCACGATGGGGGAGAATCACACGCCCCACACTGGGGATCCAGCCCACAACCCGGGCCAGTGTCTGACCGGGAATCGAACCGTGACCTCCTGGTTCATAGTCAACACTCAACCACTGAGCCGCGCCGGCCGGGTGCAGCGCAGGTTCTGTGACCCCCGAGCGCACCACTGAAGCCTCAGCTCCCTCGTGTCCAGCTCAGACGCCTGGGTATAGAGGAGGGCCCTGGGGCCCCGCCCAGCTGCACCCCAAATGTGGGTGGCACCAGCACGGGGTCAGGAAAGGCAGCCCAGGAGACCCCTCCCCGGAGGCTGGGCACCTGCATCCCGGGGGCCCGATCCTTCGGAGCCTGCGTGTCAGCGGTACGACTGGCAATGAACCTGTACTGGACCAGCAGCCCATGCGGACGGCTCTGCTGCTGGACAGGGAGCCACGTGGTGGGGGCAAGAGGCCGGGCCTCGAATAGGCCCCGCCCACCGGAGCCCTGGGTCCAGCTCTTGGCTCCAGGCCCTTCACAAGCTGGGAGCAGGGAGCCCTCCCTGATCTGTGGGTGTTGGCCAGACCAGCTCAGCAGTGGGGGCGCTGGCCCTCGAGCTGGGGATTGAGGGTGCCTGTCCCCCACGCGGAGGGTCCTTCCAGCCCCCAGCACTGGCGCCACCTGGAAAAGGGCCAGAGGGAGCTGCCGAGTTGCCAGGCCTTCCTGCCACAGCCACCAGCTGCCCCCCACCCCCAGGCGACGCTCAGGCCACTGCTGGTGTCCTCACCCACCCAGCTCCCAGCCCAGCCCAGACCCTGGACACCCTGACGCCCGGGGAGGACAGGAGCCCCGGGCACAGCCCCCACAGCGGGCCGTCCGCCTGTCCCTGGGAGCAAGGGTCACTCCAGCCTCAGACCGAGACCTCGGGGAGTCAGCCTCAGGGAGAGACGCGGGAAGCACCTTTCTCCAAGGCCTCGCTTCCCACGAAGACGCCTCACAGCTCCATGCAGTTTCGGTTCTTCAGGCTTTGCTCCCTCGAGGAGCTGACGGCTGTGCGATGAGGTTGGGCTCTGCCGACGGGCGGGGACACGAGGTCCAAAGAGGAGTCTGAGGACAGGCAACTGCCCGCCAGCAGGGACTGCACACCAGACCCAGGGCCGGACACTGAGGGTCAGACCGCTGGGCCGGAGGCACCACTGACCACTGACCGGGGCACAGGGCCAACCCACCCGGCCGAGGGCCTCACAGAAAGGAAGGAGTGCTGTCTGCTGGGCAGTCCGCCGCCCGTGAGCCTCAGGAATCTCGAGTGTGGAACAGGCACTGACCCCGACGCGCCCTCGAGCGGCTGTGGATGGAGGGCGGGTCCAGCAGCGTGGCCTTCCCACCAGCGTCCACTGTCAGGACATGGCCTCTGCTGCAGCCGCAGGGCCATGCCCACAGCCCACCCACAGGCCAGCAGGTGCACTTCCACCCCCACAGACACAAACAGCAAAACCTTTAGGAACAAAGACAACGAGAGCTTTTCACAAGAGTGGGTTACACACACAGCGGCCGACTACAGGGCGATTTAAACTACACGGATCGAACAGCCAAAGGTGAGAGTGCACGTCCCCCGCGGTTCTGGAGCGGCTGTGTCACCCGTGGGTCCCGGGAACCAGTCAGCACAGATGCAGACGGAGGAGGTCCAGGCCCGTCAGTCCCAAAACTGAGGCAAGGCCCGCAGGCTCTGCCCCTTCCTTCCGTGATGCCCGTGCCCGTGCGACTTCCAGCAAGGGCCAGTACCCCGGAGGATCTGCCGTGAAGGGGGGGGGGGGGCCTAGCTTTGGGTCAGCCCAAGGTTTGGACCAAGTGTGAGGGAGCTCCCAGGTGCAGAGCCCACAGCGTGGGGAGGGGCTCCTGGGCCACCCGGACCCCAGGAGTTCAGAGCAAGGGCTCTGGGCACCAGGAGCTGGGAGGCGGCCCAGGAGCCAGGAGGCAGCCGAGGCCGCAGGACGCAGGACGGTGGCAGCTCTGCCCTGGGTTCCCAGCCGCTTCGAGTACAAGGCGACACCTTGTGGTCACAGTGAGAGGCTCTGCGGCTCCTCTAAGGGAACACAGCCGGCTCGGGCCGCAGACTGTCCCTGGGCAGCTGGCCAGGTCAGAGCCCAGGGACCAAGAATGCACGCAGAGCACTTCGTAGGCATTGAGTTTTATATTTTAAGTGATCAAATCTATAAAATGAAAAACAGGTTTACTAAAACATGTCCAAGGACAATGCAGGAGATGAGGTACAGAACCACAGCGGGAGGCCCCTCCGCCACCCGAGCTCCACAGCCGAGACCGGGCGCGTGGGCGGGACTCGTGTCTACGCTCCAGTCCAAGCCCCTCACTCTGGTTTTTGTTTTCCTCTTAATGGTTTTTAAAAAGCTAACCCCAGGCGTCGGGCGGGTCCGCCCTGTGCGGATGGTGCGTCCAGCCAGCCAGCGTCAGGCTCGGCTGTCCCTCGCTCTCGACCACCTCTGCGTCCGGCGTGCAGCTCACTCCTGTGCTATGCTTCTCAGCACATACTTGACCGTGTAGGCAAAGGCTGCAAACCCAACTATAACAAACAAGTTCGCCAGGGCGCCGCCCAGGAGTCCGTGGTGCCGGTTGGCCTGCTGGAAGCCCGCGAGGTGGGGCCCGGCCCCCGGCGCGTGCCCGTTGAGGAGCTGCAGCCCGTGCTGGCCGTGGTGCGTGTCCCCGTCGGGAACCACGTCTGGTAAGGGCAGCGCCTGGGGTCTGCTGCTGAGCTCGTCCTGTGCTTTTTGCTTCTGTTTAATCTCCTGAGAGAAGCAGGAGACAAAGGGGGTCTGAGCAGACCAGCTCCTGTCGGGCCAGGAGGGCCCTGGCCCACCCCGTGGAGACCGAGACGGTGGTGGCTGTGGGTTTAATCCTGGCGCCCACCCCGTTACAGACGTGGGGGCCAGTGACTTGACAATCACCCAACCTGCTCCTCAGGGCCCAGGACTGAGCCGGGTCCGAGTGACGTGGTCCCTGTGGCCTGAGCCGAATGCAGCCCAGCCTTCCACTCACAGCCACCAGGACCAGGGAGCATTCCCAGCTCTCACGCAGGGCCCTCCCCACTCCTGGCCCCAAGACCCCGGCATCCCACGCTGGTGCTCAGCTGGCCAGCTCCACACCCAGGCCCCGTGCCCCTGGCCGCTCCCCAGCTCTGCCCTCCCATCCCTGCGGTCCCGGCGCCTGAGGGGCAGGCCTGCTGCCCCGGAAGCAGTGCTGTGAGCTCCCTCGTGCTCCCGTCTGCAGCTGGGATGTGCAGGAGCACACGGTTTTTCTGGAAACAACTGAATCCCGAACCCAGGGAAGCAAAGCTGACAACCACTGCCACGCTCACCTCCACAACTTCAGGAAACAACTCACAGAAGACTTTGTCTTTTAAATTAAACACTAAACTCTGTGCAGCCAGTTGTCTTTTCTAGGAAGAAAGAGAAGGGAAATGTCAACCCAAAGGTTAACTCCAATCCTCTAACATCCCAAAAGCAGGTGATTTTAGTCAAGGGCTGCTGCCCTCACGTTGCTGGACACACCCGACAAGCTGTTCTCCACAGTCAGCTAATTTACAGTCCGAAGGCTTATCCAGACAGAGAGAAATAAAAACCAGGCAACAGCCCTGGCCGGTGTTGCTCAGTGGATAGAGCATCAACCTGCGGACTGAAGGTCCCGGGTTTGATTCCAGTCAAGAGTTGCGGGCTCGATCCCCAGTAGGGGGCGTGCAGGAGGCAGCCAATGAATGGTTCTCTCTCACTGATGTTTCTATCTCTCTCTCCCTCTCCTTCTCTGAAATCAATAAAAATATATTTAGAAAACAAAACAAAAAAACAGTCAACAAGATGCGTAGGCGCTGTGACTGCATGCGACACACTCAGGGTCTGCAGGAAGCTCGGCCGAGAACAGGGGACTCCAGGGCCCAGGGTCCACGGTGCTTGGGGAGCAGGGACATGGGGTGGAGCCCCCACCAGGCCCTCGCCCCTTCCCCCTCCCCCTCCCCCTCCCCCCTCACCGTGAAGTCCGAGGTCTCTATGCTGCCCAGGGTGGGGCCCTTCTCCACCATGAAGCTGAGCAGCCCCGTCAGGATGGTGGAGACGGACCAGGCCGGGTTCCAGGTGTCTGGGTGGAAGTCCGTGATGGAGAGACACAGCCTGCAAAACAGGGCCCTCAACAGAGCGCTCGCCACGGCCGGGGTCTCGCCTCAGCGGCAGGGCAGAGCGGGGCAGAGCGCCTTACCTCGTATTGCACTTAAATCTCCCATTGGGGTTATCATATAAATACTAGGAGGTTTAAAGGGAAATTCTCTGGGAAAAATTAGTTTTCCATGGTAATAGCCACCTGCATAGAAACAGAGAAAGACGGGTCATGGTCTACAGAGCACCTCCTCGTCTTCGCTTGCACCCACCCACCCACCCACAGGCTCACAGCCCCCACCTGCTCCCACCCACCTATCCACCCTCCCACGGGATACGGCAGCACCCACTCGAACAAAGAATTTACAGATCACCAGTAGTTCCCACCTGCTGCCTATGAAAGGAACTATAATACCTGTCCTCAGTTTATACATGCCTTGTTCGATGTACCTTGTCAAAGTGATCTGTGCGAACATCACACAGTCTCCTGTCGTTG